TCTAAATGTTGAGCTAAATTTTGTCAGTTCTATCAGTTGTATGACAGTAATTTCCATCTTGAGGGTAAAATTAATACTTTACTTTTTAAAATGATTTTGCTATTTATTAGCAACTCCTGAGAACTGCAAAGTTATAATCTGAGTAACCTATTGCCAAAGCCATAAAGGAATGTTAAAAGTCTACTATCACGCCAAATAGCAGGAGACATAGGAATATGAAACGAATATTGTACATTATGTACAGTAGGAACTTAAATTACGGATTAATAGATATAATTTGCTACTTCATGGTCATTATAGACTGCCAAACAAGAAAACAAAAAAATTGGTTTAATTTCCTCAGGTACCTTTCTCTGGTTTAATACTTGAATTTTTCCCCCCAAGTGGGCCAAAATATATATGCAAATATTTTCCAGGAGAGACTATGCAGTGCTATTATAACCAGAAATCCAGCCAACTCTTTCCAGGGCTTCTCCATTAAGACAAAAGCAAGCATCTGTTCAGTCCCACTGGACTCACGTTTGGAGGCTAAGCAAGTAGATGACAGTAACCTTTCTCCAAGCAAACTGGAAATAGGTTAACCTAGGCAAGAAAACACACAGCTCTGACAAGATGGGACCCAGCATTTAAAATGTAATGATGTAATTAGCCTCCAACTAATAAAAATAAATGAAAAAAAAAAAAAAAAAACAGTGGTTTCTCACCTCTGGCTATAGGCTAGAATTACCTATCAAGAGCTTTAAGAAAACTCTCAACGCCCAATCCATCAACTGGGTAAGAGTCTCGGAGTGGAGCCGAGGCAAAGGGCGGTTTAAGACTCCCACCATGGCCAATTTCAGGATGAGCTTTAACAACTGGTCTGCAAGCCTGAATAGTTAACAACTGATTGCCTGGAGTCAGCTCTAGCTCACCCTTGGAAAAAACCTTGAGTAAACTAAATTAAGTTCTTCAACTTCTGACCTGCTATCTGAATGGTGGAGTGGGTTAAAAGTGAGGGTTACTGTGAATAAAGGTAAATCACAGTTCCAATAACTTAATGACTTTTTGTGTTTTGGGTTTAGAAGTGTCAAGTTAGCAACTGAGGCAGCTAACTGGCTGAAGGTCTAAAGACTTTTAAAAAAGGTATTAACATATACATTACCATATGTAAATTAGATAGTCAGTGTGAGTTTGACATATGACACATGGCCCCCAAAGTAGGCACTCTGTGACAACCTGGAGGGATGGGGTGGGCAGAGAGGTGGGAGGGGGTTCAGGATAGAGGGGACCCAGGTATGCCTGTGGCCGACTTGTACTGATGTATGGCAAAAACCATTACAATGCTGTAAAGCAATTATCTACCAATTAAAATAAAATTTTAAAAGGTATTAATCTGTACTTGGGAATTAATAATGTTGTTTCAGTGGGGCTGGTGCTAGGATTAAGTAAGCATACATAAAACACACAGTAAGCATACACAGTAAAAAATCTAGGTTGCCTTTCCTCAGTAATTATTACTACTTTTAAAGGAGAATGGTATGAATTGTTTTAACACTTTATTTTCAGTGAATTCAATCATGCTTATCTTCACTTTTAATATATATGTTTTTAATTTAAGTAAAGCTGATTTACAATGTTGTGATACTTGAATTTTTCCCCTCAAATGGGCCAAAATATATATGCAAATATTTTCCAGGAGAGACCATGCAGTGCTATTATAACCAGAAATCCAGCCAACACTTTCCAGCAAAGTGATTCAGTGATATGTGTATGTGTATATATATATGTGTGTGTATATATATATATATATATAGATCTTTTCTTATTTTCAGATTCTTTTTGGTATGGGCTATTACAAAACACTGAGTTTGCTTCCCTCTACACAGTAGATCCTTGTTGACTATATATTTTATACATAGTAATCACATATATCTTTTTTTATCTTTATAATTTAAATCAGGGGTTGGCAAACTACGGCGTATGGACCAAATCTGTAAATAAGGTTTCACAAAACCTCCCAGTTTTATAGAACACAGAATGTCCCCTCGGTGGTGTAGCTCTGTAGCTGCTTTCTCTGCTATGGTGGCAGAGCTGAGTAGCTGAAACAGAGGCCCGTGTGCCTTCATAAAAAACAATGCTGACCCATGATTTAAATCATTCAAAACCTTCCTTAAGTGAACACTAAAAAGTACATTAAAAAAGAATACAAAGCAAATAAAGACAGGAAATGAAAAAGTTAAGAAAATTTCTCTAGAGTTTTAGAAATCACAAAATAAATCTTAATTCTAAGCATTCCTAAGACATACTTGAAACTCTATGAAGAAACTGAGATCTGATTCTGTCTAGTCAAGATGGTATATTTTAAAGAATACTTTATAAATGAACTTTCCTGCAAGATGACTATTACTTCTGCACCAGGAATGCATCTTGAATATGAAACTTGGAAGAGTGAATTTAGGAGGTAGAAACATGGAAAATTATTTATAACCTGGCAATGAAAGTGACTGAAACCACATTAGTCAGGCAAAATAAGCTGATCTCTCTAACTACAGGTAAAATAACATTTCAAACATTGAAAAATGTACACAATCAAAATTGTACAGGGTAGGGGTTTAAGAAACCATTTCCCCTGCTAATTTTTGATGTTTACATGGAATGTTCTTCAAGCAGCAAATAACTTACCAATGATCTTGACAGATTGAAAATGATACATCTTTACCACAACATAAATTAATTCTCTCAGTGGGAAATTGCTAAAATAGACAAGGTGTCAGAAAGATTTCTTTATGTCTGAAGGAGAGGAAATGATTCCATTTCTTCCAAACATTCTTACATGAAAAATAATAAACTCTCACTTTTAAACTGTCTTTATTTTCATGGGGTTCTAAAACTCCCATTACTAATTGGGGTAGTCATAGTTATCTGGTACTGGCCATGAGTCAATCCATATAAAGTCAGGTATAAAACATACCCAGGTATAAAACTGTCCCCATAATTCACATGACATATGAATAAATATTCATAGAAATACTCAGAAAAGAGAATCGAAGACTCACACTACATTTTCATGGCATTCCTTAGATTTACCAGTAAATGTTAGCAGAAATCCTGGAAAGTAAATCTTCACAGAAAGAAATGTAAGAGAAACATGGTGGTCTATCTCAGGGAAGGGAAAAATGCCCACACAAATGAACCCAATTCATCCTGTATAGAATGACCCCCAATTTTATTCCTGAAACAGCTAGTTGAAAACTGGACCACAGGGATGAACATTTAGTGAATGTTTAATTCATGCATACACTATTATATTTAACTCTCACACAAAAACCTAAATAATGGGTATTACCAGTGATCTGTAAGGGGCAGAGTTCAGGCAGGAACTCTGTTTGCCTCCCACACTTATCCTGTGTTCAAAATGCCCAAGCCTGATGGAACACAGGGTACCCTCTCAACCATGAGCCCCCCGAGATGCCCCTAGAAAAAGAGCTCTTATAATCAGAGTGATGAGTTTGAAAATTTTCTAAATCCTCCTCTTGGAAAACAACAATGTATTATATTAAAGCCCTGTATTGAATAAGCCAGTTTACCTTCGTCTAACCCATCACACGTTCCCAAACTTATTAGGGAACCCTTTTCCTCAACTTCCATTTTGTGAAAGTCATATTCTGAAGCACACTTTGAGAAACAGGACTGCCGCCACCTCCCCTGATGGGAGCTGGATAAAAGAGAAATACATAAACTCTTAAGAGAAAATAAACATTTTCATACACCATTAAGGGGTGATACTACTGAGGGGGTGATGGCATGATTCTGAATGGCTTCTTTCTGCTCTTAGCATGAACCAGAATCTTTACTAACACCCTCAGAGCCCTGGGCCCTGCAGACATCCTTGGCCTCACCTAACAAACACCTCACCACCCCTGGTCGACCTTCAGTAACCTGGGACCTGCCAGGTTCCCCTTCATGGAGCCTTTGAAAAATGCTGTCCTCTTGGCTGGATGCTCCTTCTCTCCCTCTCGGGGAAGTCTTTCCTGATCCTGTCAAACCTCTCTCTTATCACTGAGTTACAATGTTATAGTTATTGGTGTATTTCTTTGATGAATGCCTGTCTATACCCCTATAGGAGTGAAGGGAAATATAATCTCTGTTCTCAGATGGGAAAAAGAAGAGGAGGGACTTTTCCAGCCTCTTTCTACCATCTTCTATCACTGACTAGTGGACCTCTGACTTGGGAGAAGGTTCTGTGCTGCTCAGCTCTGTGCCTGGGCACACACTGGTCTGCTACTACACAGGCAAGCTTAGGAGGAACGTTCGGGAATAAGTTCAACTCAGGCAAGACAACCTAAGAAGTCAGTTGTTACAGATCCTAGCTCTATTCTGCAGTTTAGCCTTATGCAGTAATAAAGCTGATTTTACTTTTTACCTCTGAGTCTTATTTTTCAAATCGCTTCCATTTGGGAGGTGAAGACAAGAAAGAGTGTTCTTGTTGGACCTCTAGAATGCCAACATCTTCCACTAGGCCTTAGCCCATCAGAAAGAACATGACCGGTCTCCTTCAGTTCACTACTACAGCTCAGGCCTGGCGCTAAGAGGGACTCTAAGTTTTAAAAATTGATCATTCTATCACAGAAAATCTTTTAAACAAGCAAAACTAGAGAGAATGGTATGATGATAACCCCCTATGTATACATCACCCAGCTTCAACAATAATCAACACATGGCAATAATCAAAACAATAGATCTTGTTTGATGTATTTCTCCACTTGACTGAAGCAAACCCAAGACACTGCATCACCTTATACATAACAAATGGTAAAGGCTTGAAAACATGTCTATAAAACCATTATCACATGCACATTATAAATGATAACTTATTAACTATATCTTTAATAATAAATAGATGAATGAATCAACAAAGGGTCAAAGAAGAGGTGGATCTCAAGCAAGATCTGTGCCCAGCCCCCAGCACAGCACGCATGCACGCGCACGCACACACAGCCCTTTAGGGCCAACCTACTCACCAGTCGGGGTGCTGCTGCGGAATGAAGAGGAGGGGGTGATGGGCGGGGTCACTGGGGGAGTAAGGCTTCCGCTGCTGTGGCGAGGTGGTGTGGACACATTCCCTCGAGACACTGAGCTGGACAAAGTGAGTGAGAGCTTTGGCTGGATCTTCTTCTTCAGAGACTCCTGCTCTCTGCGGGCAGCATCCGTCATGAATCTGCAAGTGGAAGAGACCATCTGTGAATAACCCATCTACAGAGCAGGAAGAATTATGATCGTTAACCTGAGTGTGACAGATGCTCCACCCTGGGGTATGGACTTGTTCACAGGTCAGTCCCAACTTCAAAAACTCAGAGCAGCTGCCCTGTTCTTACATGATAGAATTATCTTCTAGCTCCTGAAAGTTCCCTGGGCCAAGCCTCTGTCCTCACTACAGTGCCTTCAGCTACAGGACTGCCTGGAAGGTCCTCTCAGTCCTCAGAAAGTACACCCGCTCTCAAAGTTCCCCAACCACTGTCAACTAGAGAGGACTTCCCTCATCTGCAGGTTGGTGGTATTTACTGTTTGTGCCACTGAACACACATGGCTTTGTGAGGACTGATTCTTTCTTGTACTCTGTGTTCTCACACAGGTAACACTTTCTTGGCTGCCTAAAGGTCTCGTCTCCCCAGCTACTAGCTGAAAAGAAAGGACTTAAGTCCCTATTATCTTACTAGCTTGCTGCCAAGCACATGGTAGCAAACATTTATCAAATGACTGAACAATTCTGCCCAAGAAGATTCAGTAAGAGGGAACAAGCGCAGTACAAGGAAGAAGATCACTGAGAAAGATCTGTTTATGTCATGATTTTATTACTCATAAAAGGGAAAGGTGACTTTTTTCGATAGTTTCACTTTGGAAACTTCACAGTTCTATTCTTTCAACACTTCTCTTAAGTTAGTAATATTCAAGCTCTGTTCTTTTCTCCCTGTTTAATCTAGCATTTTATGAATTCATATAATAAGAGATTCAAAACCACTTATGAAATGGTATTTCCTCCCTAAACAGCAAATGTTGACTGCATTTTTTGAAAATTGGGATGGAAAGTCTAGCGAATAGAGTTTATGAAAATATTTAGGTAAATAAAGCATACACTCACGCCCACCACCTATGCTAAAAACCAGACCACAGCCATACACCTCTCAAGTCCCCTCTGCACCCCACCCTCCCATCAACTGTGTTTTGACTTTTTTAATACAATTCATCATAAACTAATACCATTGTGCTTAGACTGGTATTTTACCCAACCCATTTCACATTCTGCTTACAGAATTCCTTTATATTTGTCTTCATTACGCTACAGCATTTTAGATGTCAACAGATAGTTCTCATGCCTGGTTAAAAGTTTCCAGTTGCTCAAACACCCAATGAAACAATATCACAATAGTGTTAGTGTCTTAAAATGTCTACTTTTACACTTGGAACATGGATGGCATATTTCTTGAAGGGCTTTTGCAATATAATCTATACATATAAACTGGGTTTTATATGTTGAACCAAACTGTAATAAAGCTATATGCTTTGTCTTGAGCTCTTATGTTTTTGTGCTACAAGATGGTGCTGACTGAAAAGGGAGAAAGGAATGACAATGCAAAACAGAATTGTTTGCACTCGGTAGCCAGGTACTCATTTATTTTCAGATATAAAGATGGTTCTACTGCTCTTAAGACTGCTTTTTCCTCTCCTCATAAACCTCTACACTTAAAATATGGACTGTAAAGTAAGGAACTAGTACTTTCTTTTATTATTTTATGTACAACTGCTAACTGCATAATGCTGAGCTTCTTCAGGTGGGCATGCAGTGTGCTGGGCAGTGGCCAAAATCACAGGCTAAACATGTTGCTTGTTCTAGGAAGGCCAAGTGTTCGTAGTGTGGGTAATTCAAGTTAGTTTTTAAATAGTAAAAAAAATACATATATATAGATATGCAATGGAGTAGAATGAAAAATAAACATCTTGCATCTTAGTTAAGAGCAAGCAAGCCAGTCTTCAAATCCTGGCTGTGCTCCTTACTAATGTGACTTAAGGCAAGTCGATGATCCTCTCTAAACCTCTGCTTTATTCTCTGTAAAATGGGACAAGAAATTGTGTAACAGCTAAAGGGCTAACATATCCCTTTTTCCTTTCTGCAAGAGGTTTTGATTAACTCTGGTAACCTGCCAAGATGGTAAATCAAACATGCTACTGGGCAGCACTGCTTATAAGACTAACCCCCTGACTGGTATGTGGCATCTGGCCTGGGAGGAGCTAGAAACCATCTATCCATAGCTGATAGGAAGCAGGAGCTTTGGGCTTCCAGAGCATGGTGACCCTGCACCTGAACATGGCCCCTGCAGGGAATGGGGAACGTGCCCAGGGAGTGTTATAAAAGCTTTGATTCCAGGGCAGCTCCCACCTCTGCCCAAGGGGCACCTTCAGTTTGCATTTGGACAGACTGCCATTGTGTACCAGTGAGAACTTCACAGAAGGCGTGACGTGGCCCTCCTGGTGGGCAGGCTTTACCTTCTATCTCTCTGAAAAGACCCAGAACTCATGACAGTCCTCGATCATCTTGAGAATCTGTTCATGGTCAAGGAAGGTCACTTGCTGGTGGACAGGCCAACAACAGTGCTGACTTCAGAGGATACTGTGAGGATTAAACAAGGCGGCAGTGCCTGTCATGTAGGAAGTGACTGTTTTTGTTGCAGAATGCTTCATAAATGTGGTTTTTCCTGTATATTCCGTCTATCTTACTCCAAGTTTCTTGACGATGCACTGCATATTTATGGCCCTGAAAGCACCAGGTTCATGCCTCATGCATAGCTGACTGGGAATCAGATCAGAGAGTGCACAGAGAATGTGAGAAAGATCGTCTTGCCAGAGAGAGATGCAGAGAGACAGAGGCTTAGCAGTGTCTTCTCTTACTCAGGTTAAAAAGTAACAATAGCTCATGGTTTTTATGTAAAATAAATACTCTCCTACAGCTCAGATATAAAAACAGCTATAAACAAGCACAACAACGTGCACACACATATCCCTTGCCTTCACCCCCTCATGGGTTTGGTCAGCTACGGACAGCCATTTATTTTTGACTTGTATCTGCTAAGTGCTTTCTAGAAGCGAGAACGAGGCACCATGATAAAAGCATTAAACGTGAAACTCATAAAACATTTCTGCCAATCCTTCTCTCCCTCCACCTCCTTTGGATTGGTGGTTATGAACTTGCAGCTATACCCATAAATCAAGGCAACCTCACTATACCAAGATACACAGCTGCAGAATTTATTCCCGGTGACAACATACACACGCGGGGGCATAAAAATGCCTGTGGAACACTGGATAAAATTCACCAGTTTTTCCCTGGTGGTTTTGCACTGTTCCTCTTTCACTTATCACCCATGACTTTACCTATTTTTTGGAGGCTTATTTAAACCCTGAACTTTTCAAGCAGTGTTCTATCAATACAGCTGTTTGTCAAAAGATGGGTGAATTCGCAATGGCAAAAACCACTTGGAGAGACAAGTTAATAAAGGACCTGATGAGGCAGAATGAATAAAGGTTATCTGTGACTGTGGTCTAGACTGGACTCAAGTAAGTTGGCTCCAAGCATTTTCCACCTTCAGGGGCAGCTACACTGTGACATCTTTGAAGGACCACAGCCCAGACTGTTCCATCATCAGGGTTAGACACGTTCTGCTGTATTCCGAGAGGAGATGGAGTTCAGGCTTGGGAAGTCACACCACCCTGCAGACTGAAGAGTTTTTCCCAGTGGATTCTGACATGACTGGTGATCTTTCCCGAAGCCCTGAGTAATTGCAGCCAACATGGGGTTTAGAGCAGGAAAGAAGCTGGCTGAGACAGATCACCTTGTCTAGCCCCCTCATTTTTCCTAGTAACTGGGAAATGAGGTGAAGGGGCCTGTGCAAGGTCACTTTGCTGGCTGATGGCAAAGCTGGTATCTGAGAAGTCAAGCCTTAGGACTGAATCAAAAGCTCCTGCTCTGCCAGGCTGCCTCCTGCACATCTGAGCTTTCTTGTTTTTGCTGCAGGGTCATGGTTTTCAAAGCTGAAAGCGGTTAAAGAGCCGAAGCTTAGGGCCTGGGAAAATACAGGGGTTCACTTGTTGGAAGTGGGGCAACCATTAGAGTGGGGGTCTTTATTCTCTCAGCATCCAAGTTCTGCTGTGTTGCGCCCCTAGGTTCTTGGGGTCTTGGATTTGTAGCCTCACTGGGCTGTGATATGGGGAAGGCTGGCTGTGCTCACCTCCCTGAATTCTTTCTGCTTTGCAATGGGAGCTGCTCTGGTCTTGTAGCAGTAGTGTGCTGGTGTCGGCTCATGCTGGCTTGTGAGCTGGCTTGTGAGAGCTGATCATTAACTTTTTAGGGATTTAGGCCACTTGTTAAATATACCCATTATCAAAATTTAAATCATGTGAAGTTAAAATTAAAACAAGTATATTAAAAACAAAGATAATAATACTCAAGATTTATTAGTTCTTATTATTTTCTTCCATTTTACTATTATCTGTGCTATCTGAGGTTATTTACATTAATAAAGTTGTATTTGAAAGAAAAAAAAAGTTGTATTTGTTTGGTAGAATTACTATATGATGCTATATAGCACGTTACTTCTCTACTCTGTGCAGCGATGTAATGCTGGTAGCCTGAAATTGGCCATGATGGAGTATTTACACCATGCAAATAGGCAAATATTACAAATTGGGGTTTTTCCTCCCATCCCAACAGTCAACTGTTAAACATTTACCAATATACCTACAGCTATTATTATTATTTTAATGTGGGGAAAAAAACATTTGAACCAGGCTCCTTGCCTACCTACCAAAGGAGCTAATCAGGGAAGGGATGAAGGATGGATCAGGAAAGTTTCTTTTCCTTTTTAAAAATATAAAAATAAGACCTCTCATTAAAGAACACTTACATGGATTTTTCATGGATTTGTCACTTGTGCTTAAAAACATTTAAAAAATCTGGTAGTACACACACAAATCGACTGTACATATTTTTAAGCACAGTTTAAAGAAAAATAAAATGACAATCCATGTACTTAACTACTCACCCAGCTTACGAGAAAAATTTTATCAGAACATTGGAAATTTGCAGATACAACTACAGTAGATTTTTCAGGGTATTTTCTTTCTGGTATTACTTTTCTACACATAAAGAGAACTGGATATTTCTTA